CTCATTACTGGTTATTGGCCTATTCAGGTTGTCAGTTTCTTCCTGTTTCGGTCTTGGCAGTTTATAGGTTTCCAGGAAGGCCTCCATTTCATCCAGATTGCTCAATTTATTGGCATATAGTTGTTGATAATAATTTCTAATAATTGTTTCTATTTCCTTGGTGTTAGTCATGATCTCTCCCCTTTCATTCATAATTTTATTAATTTGAGTCCTTTCTCTTTTCTTTTGGATAAGTCTGGCCAGTGGTTTATCGATCTTACTAATTCTTTCAAAGAACCAGCTTCTAGTTTCATTGATCTGATCTCCTGTGTTTCTGGTTTCTAATTCATTGATCTCTGCTCTAATCTTAATTATTTCTCTTCTAATCCATGGCTTAGGCATCATTTGTTGCTTTTTCTCTAGTTCTTTAAGGTGTAGAGTTAGTTGGTGAATTCGGCATTTTTCTATTTTTTGAGTGAGGCTTGGATGACTATGTATTTCCCCCTTAGGACTGCCTTTGCAGTATCCCATAGGTTTTGGACCGATGTGTTTTCATTCTCATTGGTTTCCATGAACTGTTTAAGTTCTTTGATTTCCTGGTTGACCCAAATATTCTTGAGCAGAGTGGTCCTTAGCTTCCAAGTGTTTGAATTTCTGCCAAGTTTTTTCTTGTGATTGAGTTCCAGTTTTAAAGCATTATGGTCTGAGAATATGCAGGGAATAATCTCAATCTTTTGATATCAGTTGAGACCTGATTTGTGACCCAGTATGTGGTCTATTCTTGAGAAAGTTCCATGTGTGCTCGAGAAGAATGAATATTCTGTTGTTTTAGGGTGGAATGTTCTGTATATATGTATATATGAGGTCCATCTGGTCCAGTGTGTCATTTAAAGCTCTTGTTTCTTTGTTGATTTTCTGCTTAGATGATCTGTCTATTGCTGAGAGTGGAGTATTGAGGTCTCCTACAATTAACGTATTGTTATCAATATGACTCTTTATTTTGGTTAACAGTTGGCTTATGTAGATGGCTGCTCCCATGTTGGGGGCATAGATATTTACAATTGTTGGATCTTCTTGTTGGATAGACCCTTTAAGAATGATATAGTGTCCTTTTGTATCTCTAACTACAGTTTTTAGTTTAAAATCTAATTTTTCTGATATGAGAAGTGCTACCCCAGCTTTCTTTTGAGGTCCACTGGCATGGAAGATGGATCTCCATCCCTTCACTTTCAGTCTGGATGTATCTTTAAGTTCAAATGAGTCTCTTGTAGACAGCATATGGATGGGTCCTGTCTTTTTATCCAATCTGCAACCCTGTGCCGTTTTATGGGAGCATTTAGGCTGTTCACGTTGAGAGTGATTATTGAAAGATATGAATTTATTGTCATCATGTTGCCTGTGAAGACCTTGTTTTTATAGATTGTCCCTGTAAATTTCTGTTGATATCAGTCTTGGGGTCTTTCTCCTCTTATTAGAACCCCCCTTAATATTTCTTGCAGGGCCAGCTTAGGTGTCACATATTCTTTCAGTTTCTGCCGATCTTGGAAGCTCTGCATCTCTCCATCCATTTTAAATGACAGCCTTGCCGGATAAAGTATTCTTGGCTGCATGTTCTTCTCGTTTAGTACCCTGAATATGTCTTGCCAGGCCTTTCTGGCTTGCCAGGTCTGTGTGGATAGGTCTGATGTTATTCTGATGTTCCTCCCTCTGTACGTAAGGAATCTCTTCCCCCTAACTGCCCTTAAGATGGTTTCCTCAGTTCTAAGATTTGCGAGTTTTACTATTACATGCTGAGGTGTTGGCCTGTTTTCCTTGATCTTGGGAGGGGTCCCCTCTGCCTCTAAGACATGAATATTTGTTTCATTCCCCAGATTAGGGAAGTTCTCAGCTACAGTTTGCTCAAATATATCTTCTAGTCCTCTCTCTCTCTCCATCCCCTCCGGGTTTCCAATAATTCTGACATTGGAACACTTCATGGTGTCACTTATTTCTCAGATTCTATTTTCATGGATTCTGAGTTGTTTTTCCATGGTCTCCTCTTTTCCCCTTTTATCTATTAAATGGTCTTCCAGGTCACTAATTCATTCTTCTGCCTCACTTACCCTAGCTGTTAGATTATCTAGATTAGATTGGATCTCACTGATAGCATTAAGTTTTGCCAATTCAGCTTTCATTGCTGCCCTTAGAGACTCTATGTTGCCATTAATTGATTTCTCCATTCTAGCTATTGTCTTCACAATTGCCAGCCTGAATTCCATCTATGACATCTTGCTTATATCTGAATCCATTTGTAAATCTGTGGCGTAAGTCATAATCTCTGAGTCTTTCCCATTTTGGGGGTTCATCCTCCTAGTCATTCTGTTGATGGGTTGTTGAGGGAATGTATAGAGTCCAAATTACTGACCACAACCCAACCAAGATGCACCTGTTTTCTAGGGACTTTAGGGTTGCTGGCCTCTTGTTTTCCCAGCCTGTCTTCTGGGGCAGGGGCCTGCCGTGCTGTTACTCAGGGCAACCCTGTTTGGGCAGAGTTGCCCTGCCGCCTGTGGTGGGGGATGGGCTCAGTGAAAACCGGTGTTTTGGCGCTTTTGTTCTCTGGCGGCTTTCCCTGGAGGCTTTCCACGTCTCTTCTGAGAGTCAGAGCAGAAGAGACCGTTTCCAACCCTCTGCCTCAGAGCAGAGAAATCACAGTCTGTTCTTCAGCGAGCTCTCCAGGCCACACTATCTCCGTTTCTGTCTGTGCTGCTATAAACTGCAGCGTCCTGGGTTGTGCGCTCCTCAGCAGTGCTCCCAGTCCTCCCTTCCAGGTTGGGGCACATCTCTGCCCTTTGTGCTTCTAAAACTGCAAGCCACCCCTAGTTCGCACGTGCAGCCCGCTGCTCCAGGTTTCCGTCAGGGGGCTGCCCTAAAGTCCTTTCCCCGCTGCTACCGGTCTGTGAGTCTGTGCCCCATCCCCGCGTGGGAGGCTATTGCTCACCGGCGGTGTAGGATCCCCATGGCCAGGCTCCCTCCCCCTGCCATTTATCCTGCAGAATCACAGCTCCCTGCTTCATACCTCAAAACCAACCACCTGCGATATTCTGTTTGTAGAGATCCAGATCTATTTTCTTGCATCTCAGGCTGATTTCGTGGGTGCTCAGAGTGGTCTGGTAGATATCCAGCTCAATTCTGGGGACCAGTTGGAATAGGGTCCCCTACTCCTCTGCCATCTTTTCTCCTCCTCCCTGAAAGTAATGGCCTAATGAAGAGAGGTCATATAGTATCCAGGGCCTGCCCCTTTAGGGAGTGTCTCCTGTGTGTACTGCATGTGCTTGGCTGTTGTGTTTTGGCTGCTCTATCCTTCAGGCCAGTCATTTGAAGAGGCTCTCCTTGCCTGCCATGGGCAGCATTTTGTCTCTGGCCTGAATTTTAACTAGGTGGTGAGTTTTAACTAGGTGTGCCCTGGTCTGCTTGTGAAATGAGACCTGTCACCACTTCCCCTGCAGCTGAGGTCCTGCAGGACTCTCTGGCTGGGAGGTGTGCTATGGGCAGGGGTTTGTGCTGGTTTTCTGGGGGAGGGGCTCACCACACTGGTACTTAGGCAAGCATGACTGAGAAGGGTTGTTTTACTGGAGCTCAGGGATATGGGGCTTGGTGTAGGTAAGTTAGGCAGCCTGTTTTGGCACTGTGCTGCTTCCCACAGTTGGCTCTGTGTTCATGCTGAGGGGCAGGGGAGGGAAATGGTGCCACCTGGCTCTTTCATTCCTGAGTGGGTCCCTGTGCATGGTCCCTCTCAGGGATGTGCTCTGAGAGGAGCAAATAATTTCCCCACTGTATGCCCCAGGCACATTTCAGTTCCCTGTTTCCATTGTATCTGCCCCCCAGGTTGTTTCCTGCCTTCTCTCCAGGAACAGCACAGTGACCTCTAGGCTCTATTCCAGTCAAGCCCTCTGATCTTGGCCCTGGCCCTCTGATCTCTGGCTATGGTTCCTGCTTTAAGCCCTGCTGACTGCAAGAACTCATGAAATTCTACCCCTCTCCTTTTCTAAGCCAATGGCTTTGGGGAAATGTTCTTCTTGTGTGTTCTCTTGTGTGCTCCTCTCTCTCTCTCTCCCCCTTCTCCATGACCATGGCTCCCTCCCCTCTGCAGCACCTGCAGTCTGTTTCTCCCCTAAACCACATCTCTGCACTTCCTACATTCTTTGATGTGGCCTCTTCTATTTTTTTTTTAAAGATTTTACTTATTTATTAGAGAGAGAGAGAGAACAGAGAACAAGAGAGAAAACAAGAGAACATTTAGTTATCGGGAGAGGGAGAAGCAGGCTTCCTGCTGAGCAGGGAGCCCGATGCGGGACTCAATCCCAGGACCCTGGGATCATGACCTGAGCCGAAGGCAGTCGCTTAACCAACTGGGCCATCCAGGCACCCTCTTCTCTCCCTTTAGTTGTGGAGTTTGTTCTGTCTGTCTTCAGGTCAACTTTTGTGTTGATCTGATGGTTATCTAGTTGTGTTCCTGGGACTAGTTGTGTTCCTCCTTCTATTGTCTCAGGCCATGAGAGATGCCTATAATTAAATAAATCATTTTCAAAATAAACTGACATTCTTTCATGTCCTTTATTGCCAGGACCTAGATCAGTATTTGCCTTTTCACTTCGGAGTACTTCAGCCTGGACACTTTGCTGTGGACCCAGGACCCTCTTCATCTGCCCTTCATTTAAGTGTGATTGTTGGGCAGAGTGGGGAGAGGGGTGAGGCAAGAATTGTCTGATTCCCTCCACCCTCAAGAGGATATCTCTATAGCCAATTTGCTAATATGGTACTTCTCAGCCTTGTTTATACATTTAAAACATCTGGGAAACTTAAAAATTCTGATAACTGGGCCTCACTATCAGAAATTCTGATTTAAAAAAATTCTGATTTAGTTAGTCTGCAAAGTGGCCTGGACATGGAGAGTTTGGGAAGGTCCCCCAAGTGATTCCAGTATACATCTAGCATTGAGAACTGTGGGGATAAGGAGGTTCATGGATGTTCTTATTTGGCAGGATAACAGTACCAAGGGGAACAGAAGAGCAGAGGAGAAGTGTCCCCTTCCAGTTGCTCTTGCTACTGGAGAGGATGCAGGACAGCCGGCAGAAAGCAGTGCAACCTATGGAGCTTGCCTACTGTCTCCAGAAGTACAATGTTCCAAGTAAGGTAGCCTTCTCAGCTCTGAAAGAGAGGGAGAGGGAGGAGGTTGGGGAAGGGGAAAGTGGGAGGAGTGCCTCAAAGAATGAGTCAGGAGCTGTTCCCTCCTCTTTTTTGTTTTGGAAGAGTTTTTGAAGTGATAGGTATTAATTCTTTAAATGTTTGGTAGAATTAAGCCAATCTGGACCTGGGCTTTTCTTTGTGGGAAGTTTCAAAATGACTGATCAATCATTTTCCTTTTTACAGTTAGGGTCCTTTCTTCAGGTTGAAAAACAACTCCCTTTAGCAATTTCTTGTAAGAAAGTGTAGTGGTGATGAACTTCCTTAGCATTTGTCTGGGAAAGTCTTTATCTCTCTTTCACTTCTAAAGTAAAGTTTTCTAGATTGGCAGTTTTTTTTCTTTTATCACTTTGAATGTGTCATTCCACTGTCTCCTGGCATGTAAGGTTTGTGCTGAGAAATCCCCTGATAGCCTTATGGGGGGGTTCCCTTATAAGTGATAAGCTCCCTTTCTCTTAATGATTTTAAGATCTCTCCTTGTCATTGATTTTTTTATTAAGTTCAATTAGCCAACATATAGTAAGTACATCATTAATTTTTGATATAGTGTTTAATGATTCATTAGTTGCTTGTCATTGATTTTTAAAAGTTTTACTATTGATGTGTCTTGGAGAATATCTATTTGAGTTGAATGTGTTTGGGGTCCTAAGAGCTTCATGAACTTTGATGTCTAAATCTCTCCCCAGATTTGGGAAGTCTCAGCCACTATTTCTTTCTTTTTTTAAATTTTATTTACATTCAGTTAATTAACATATAGTATATTATTAGTTTCAAAAGTAGTATATATTAGTTTCAATAGTATATTATTAGTTTCATCAGTTGTATATGACATCCAGTGCTCATTATATTCGGCAACCCTCCCCCCCCCACCCCAGCAACCCTCAGTTTGTTTCCTATAGTTAAGACTCTCTTATGGTTATCTCCCTTTCTGATTTCATCTTGTTTTATTTTCCTCTCCCTTCCTCTATGCTCCTCCATTTTATTTCTTAAATTCCACATATGAGTGAAATCATATGATAATTGTCTTTCTCTGATTGACTTATTTATAGCTGAGCATAATACTCTCTAGTTCTATCTATGTCCTTGCAGTTGGCAAGATTTCATTTTTTTGATGGCTGAATAATATTCCATTGTGTATATATATCCATTCATCTGTTGATGGACATGGCTCTTTTCATGGTTTGGTTATTGTGGACATTGCTGTTATAAACATTGGGGTGCAGATGCCCCTTTGTATCACTATGTTTGTATCCTTGGATAGTAGTGCAATTGCTGGGTTGAAGGGTAGCTCTAGTTACAACTTTTTAAAAGGTTTTATTTATTTATTTGACAGACAGTGAGAGAGGGAACACAAGCAGGGGGAGAAGGAGAGGGAGAAGCAGGCTTCCTGCTGAGCAAGGAGCCCAATGTGGGGCTTGATCCCAGGACCATGATCCCAGGATCATTACCTGAGCCAAAGGCAGATGCTTAACAACTGAGCCACCCAGGCGTCCCCATTTATAACTTTTTGAGGAGCCTCCATACTGTTATCCAGAGTGGCTGTACCAGCTTGCATTCCCACCAGTAGTGTAAGAGCGTTCCCCATTCTCTGTATCCTCACCAACATTTGTTGTTTTCTGACTTGTTAATTTTAGCCATTCTGACTGGTATGAGATGGTATCTCATTGTGGTTTGATTTGTATTTCCTTGATGCCGAATATGTTGAGCATTTTTTCATCTGTCTGTTGGCCATTTGTATGTCTTCTTTGGAGAAATGTCTGTTCATACCTTCTGCCCATTTCTTGACTGGATTTCTTGTTCCTTGGGTGTTGAGCTTGATAAGTTCTTTATAGATTTTTGGATACTAACTCTTTATCTGATAAAACATTTGCAAATATCTTCTCCCATTCTGTATGTTGTCTTTTAGTTTAGTTAACTGTTTCGTTTGCTGTTCAAAAGCTCTTTATTTTGATGAAGTTCCAATGGCTCATTTTTGCTTTTGTTTCCCTTGCCTTTGGAGATGTGTCTAGCAAGAAAGTGCTGGGGCCGATGTCGAAGAGGTTACTGCCTTGTGTTCTCTTCTAGGGTTTTGATAGATTCCTGTCTCACATTGAAGTCTTTCATCCATTTTGAGTTTATTTTTGTGTATGGTATAAGAAAATGGTCCAGATTCATTCTTCTGCATGTGGTTGTTCAGTTTTTCCAGCACCATTTATTGAAGAGACTGTTTTCTTTCCATTGGATATTCTTTCCTGCTTCGTCGAAGTTTAGTTGACCATAGGCATTCTGTTCCACTGATCTATGTGTCTGTTTTTGTGCCAGTACCACACTGTCTTGATGATTACAGCTTTGTAATATAGTTTGAAGTCTGGCATTGTGATGCCACCAGCTTTGGTTTTCTTTTTCAACATTCCTCTGGCTATTCAGGGTCTTTCCTGGTTCCATACAAATTTTAGGATTATTTCTTTCAACACTGTGAAAAATGTTGATGGTGTTTTGATAGGGATTGCATTTGATGTATAGATTGCTCTGGGAATCATAGACATTTTAACAATATTTGTTCTTCCAATCCATGAGCATGGAATGTTTTTCCACGTCTTTGTGTCTTCCTCAATTTCTTTTATGAGTGTTCTATAGTTTTCAGAGTACAGATCATTTATGTCTTTGGTTAGGTTTATTCCTAGGTATCTTGTGGTTTTTGGTGCAATTGGAAATGGGATTGATTCCTTAATATCTCTTTCTTCTGCCTCATTGTTAGTGGGTAGAAATGCAACTGATTTCTGTGCATTGATTTTTTTTTTTTTTTTTTTTTTTAGTATTTTCTTTTTTTTTTTTTTTTAAAGATTTTATTTATTTATTCATGAGAGACAGAGAGAAACAGAGGGAGAAGCAGGCTCCCAAGGAGCGGGAAGCCCGATGCGGGACTCGATCCCAGGACCCTGGGATCATGACCTGAGCCGAAGGCAGATGCTTAACCATCTGAGCCACCCAGGCGCCCTCTGTGCATTGATTTTATATCCTGCCACTTTACTGAATTTTTGTATGAGTTCCAGCAATTTTGGGGTCGAGTTTTTGGATTTTTCACAGAGTATCATGTCATCTGCAAAGAGTGAGAGTTTTACTTCTTCTTTGCCAGTTTAGATGCCTTTTATTTCTTTTTGTTGTCTGATTGCTGAAGCTAGGACTTCTATGTTGAACAGTAGTGGTGACAGTGGGCATCCCTGTCATGTTCCTGATCTTAAGGGAAAAGCTCTCAGTTTTCCCCCATTGAGAATGATATTTGCTGTGTGCTTTTTGTAGCTGGCTTTTATATCTTGAGGTAATTTCCCTTTATCCCACACTGTAGAGAGTTTTAATCAAGAAAGAATGCTGTAGTTTGTCAAATGCTTTTTCTGCATCTATTGAGAGAATCATATGGTTCTTGTTCTTTCCTTTATTAATGTGGTGTATCACATTGATCGATTTATGGATGTTGAACCACTCTTGCAGCCCAGGAATAAATCCCACTTGGTCTTTGTGAATAATTCTTGTTGGATCCTATTGGCTAGTATTTTAGTGAGAATTTTTGCATCCATGTTTGTGAGGGATATTGGTCTGTAATTCTCCTTTTGGTGGGGTCTTTGGTTTGGGGATCAAGGTAATGCTGGTCTCTTATAATGAGTTTGGAAGTTTTCCTTCCATTTCTATTTTTTGAACCAGCTTCAGAAGAATAGGTATTAATTCTTTAAATGTTTGGTAGAATTCCACTGGGAGGCCATTTGGCTCTGGACTCTTGTTTGTTGGAAGGTGTTTATTTTTTTATTTTTTATTGTTATGTTAATCACCATACATTACATCATTAGTTTTTGATGTAGTGTTCCATGATTCATTGTGTATAACACCCAGTGCTCCATGCAGAACGTGCCCTCTTTAATACCCATCACCAGGCTAACCCATCCCCCCACCACCCTCCCCTCTAGAACCCCCAGTTTGTTTCTCAGAGTCCATAGTCTCTCATGGTTTGTCTCCCCCTCCGATTTCCCCCCCTTCATTCTTCCCCTCCTGCTATCTTCTTCTTCTTCCTCTTTTTTTTTAACGTGTATTGTATTATTTGTTTCAGAGGTACAGATCTGTGATTCAACAGTCTTGCACAATTCACAGCACTCACCATAGCACTACCCTCCCCAATGTCTATCACCCAGCCACCCCATCCCTCTCACCCCCCACCACTCCAGCAACCTTCACTTTGTTTCCTGAGATTAAGAATTCCTCATATCAGTGAGGTCATATGATACATGTCTTTCTCTGACTGACTTATTTTGCTCAGCATAACATGCTCCAGTTCCATCTACGTCGTTGCAAATGGCAAGATCTCATTCCTTTTGATGGCTGCATAACATTCCATTGTATATATATATCACATCTTCTTTATCCATTCATCTGTCAATGGACATCTTGGCTCTTTCCACGGTTTGGCTATTGTGGACATTGCTGCTATAAACATCGAGGTGCACATACCCCTCGGATCCCTACGTTTGTATCTTTGGGGTAAATACCCAGTAGTGCAATTGCTGGATCATATGGTAGCTCTATTTTCAACTTTTTGAGGAACCTCCATACTGTTTTCCAGAGTGGTTGCACCAGCTTGCATTCCCACCAACAGTGTAGGAGGGTTCCCCTTTCTCTGCATCCCGCCAACATCTGTCGTTTCCTGACTTGTTAATTTTAGCCATTTTGACTGGTGTGAGGTGTATCTCATTGAGGTTTTGATTTGGATTTCCCTGATGCCGAGCGACATTGAGCACTTTTTCATGTGTCTGTTGGCCACTTGGATGTCTTCTTTGGAAAAATGTCTGTTCATGTCTTCTGCCGATTTCTTGGTTGGATCATTTGTTCTTTGGGTGTTGAGTTTGATAAGTGCTTTATAGATTTTGGATACTAGCCCTTTATCTGATATGTCATTTGCAAATATCTTCTCCCAGTCTG